ATTTCCCCCCCACACCTGGAATTGAATTCAGGTCCTTGTGCTTGCAAGGCAGGCCATCAAACCGCTGAGCTAAATCCCCAGCCCGGCCTCCATATTTTTAATACAATCAGAAAGACTGCAATTATGACTAAGGTTTTGATTTAGAACAGTTTAGGAAATCTGCTGGAGTCTCTATAATTTTAGATTTGGGCTCTTAATCTAGCATCCAAATTTTAAATAGTTTAATGATTTCTATTTTTAGGTTTCACTATATGTAGTTGTTATGCTACATGTATTCTGTAGTATTTCTGCAATAATTTATACAAAACTATTTTTATAAAACTTATATAAGAATTAAATATAAGTCCAGAGAAATCACTCTTAATTTTGATTGTATATCAGATTTCAACAAGATCCTTTTTTCTAAATGAATAAAGGATACTTGTGCATTTGCACATTTTCTCTTTTAACAAACACATTGACATAAAAATGAGGCATATATTGGATACACTAATAACTTCAGAACACAGGAAAGCTGCTTTCTCTTAAAGAATTAATAAATAATCGTTTATTAAACCAAAAAAGGTACACAGTGATAACCTAAATTACTACCTGCAGTATTCTTTTTAAATCATATTGATGACTTTAGTGAGTAGGAGTGAACATAATTAGAAATGGAACAAACAAAATATTTTCATAACAAAATACCAAAAAGCCTATCAACAAAATACTAAGAAAAAAAATACATTTTACAAAATGATCCATTGGAATCATATATTTCTGATCCTCTACAAATTGGTTATAATCTAGTCACATGTGCAGCTGAAATATGTCACTACACCAATCTACTTTCATAGATTTCAAGAATAATCTCGGACCTTAGTTATAGGTGTTTTTCATCTGATTATGCCTTCCTTTCTCAATGCATATTCCATTTTACAAACTGATTACAGTGTCTTGGACAATCTACCTATATTGATCATTTTTGTATGTACTCTTTATTATCAAAAAATTTTGACAATTTCTTAAAGTAAAATCACTCTGTTAATTCTCTCTCTCATTGCTACAGAGCATTCTCCATATTTATTCAGGTTAAAGAATAAAAGAAAATCTTTAAGGAAATAAATAGCAACATGATAATATACCCACATAATAACCAACCAGTGTATGCAGAAGAAAATTAAATGATAGAAACTTTGATTCTTCAAGTGGAAAAGAATCATTTCTTGTAAAACCAAAAGATCTTATATAATATCCCAGAAAAAATGGTTAATAGTTAAAAGTGGTTAAGCAAACTTGAATAATTGTAGCAGTGGAATTTTTTCTATTTTATTAATGAGTTATTTTATTGATAGAAAGATTAAACATTAGAAAATTCTCCCTAGTATTTATTCAAGGTTTCGTGTAGATCATAAGCAGATGAGAATCTAATATAGCTGACCTCACCTGGACTTTGAACAGGGGCTGTTTCCTTGCACTGGATTTCGCATTTCAATGCCTAGACAGCAAATAGCTGTGTAGGAGTCGCTATTCCAAATACTCACACATGACACAATCCATAGAGATTATATTGACTTGAAATTGTACACATATGAAAAAATGCTTTCTTAATAGCTAACCTCATTCTGAATGAGAATCTGAAACATGATGTGTTACTAATCTCCTACAATCTGTGCTCCATAGTTTTTGTTCTATTCTGTGCAGTTTATTAATGCATTTGTTTCTCTATGAACAAGCGTTCTAGCTTAGTGTTCTTGCCCCTGCTTTCACTGCATTTTTAAAAATGTGTTTAATTTTATTGACATATATTAATGGTAAAACAATAATGGAATTTCATGTGATAATTTCATACATGCCCATTCACAAATCAAATCCAATCTTGCCTGTGTTTGAACTAAAAAAGCATAACATTCCTCTTTAACGCTGTGACAATGCCTGTGTAGCAAGGGTCTTCAAGGATGGTTGAAAGGCAATTTTAGTGTGAGTTCTACAGAGGATGTGAAAAACCACTAAAAGTCTTGCAATTCGTAACTTAGTTGGAAAGCATTTAGAAATACAAAAACTTGTATAAATATTTTAATACTAAATTTACTGAGACATCATGAAATAATACAGGTTACTTTTATCCTCTACAGTTACAAGAGGTGCTCAAAGTGGTGGCCAGAAGCTTCCAGACATTTATTAGTATGGCAAACTGCTGAAGTGTGTGTGCACTTTTTGACAGATTCTGTGTATATAATACTTTGTACCTTCCAGTCAGAATGTCCCTATTATAAAACCATTAAGCCTACCGCTACTTTTAAGTGACAAAAGTTTAAAAGTTTATCTGAAATATGACCGTGGGAACCATGTTTTTTTGGTTTCCTTTTATTCTCTCTAAGCTCATTTCATTTTTCAGTCATGCGTAAGGTCATAGTTCATCATATTCTCAGAGTAATCAAAAGAAAGACACCCAAAATTAGAACTGCTATAATAATACAATATCGTCAATGGAATATTTTACTTAAAAAGATTATAATATGATAACAAAAGATTAAGTTGGCTGATTTTTGTCATAAGACTGATATAAATTTTACATACTTATTCTGTAGACTATACATTCAAAAAACCATTTTAATATTTAGATCTGGTATCCATTTTGATGTTAGTTTAGTGCATAGGTCTATTTTTAATCTTCAGCATGTAGAAATACACTTTTTCCAGAACCATTTATTAAAGAGGCTATTTACCTTTCTTCCAGGGAAGGTGTTTGGCCCTTTTGTGGAAGATAAGGTGGCTGAGTGCGTTTGGAGTTGTTTCTTCATCTCCTAATCTGTTCCTCTGATCCTCGGGTCTGTTTATTGGCCGATACCATGTTCTTTTTATGACAGCAGCATTGCAGCATAATTTAAAATCAGGGATTGTGATGCCCCTGCCTTGCCTTTGTTGCCCAGAGTTGTTTTTGCTATTCTAGGTTTCTTCTGGTTCCAAATGAACTTTACTGTCATTTTTCTCTAGTTCTGTATTTTGATTGGAATTACATTAAATCTGCATAAAATGTTGGGAATGTGATCATTTTCACAGCCTTGAGACCATACTTTTAAGTGAAATAAATCAGACACACAGGTAAATATCTCATTGTTTCTTTGGTGTGAGAAATTGAAAGTGTAAATAAAGGCTAAAATGTAAACTAGATATTATAAAATAGGAAGAAAATGCTTAAATGAGAAGGGGAACTAAGGAGGTGGGAGAAAGAATGAAAGAAAAAAGAAAAAAACCTGAAAATAAAGCTTCTGCAAATAAGAAGGGGAAGAGAGGTTGAAGGGAGGGTAGGGATGGGGAAAAAAGGGAAATTAATATATCATATACAGGTATAAATTCTCTATGATGAATGTGATCATTACGTATATCTAAAATGTACCAATAAAGGGCCGGGCATTTAGCTCAGTGGTTCCGCTGCCTGCCTTGCAAATAAAAGGACCCGAGTTCGATCCCCGGTACCAAAAAAATAAAAAAAGTATCAATAAACAGCTTTAAAAAGAAAAATGAGAAAACGTAAAAAAAAAAAAGAAATCATTGAGACATTTTACTTAGAAAATGCATTCTTCCCAAGATCTTAAATACATGACAGCAATCAAATGATATATTTCATTTTCTACTATGTTAATCTTGCACTTATTTATGATTTGAGAAATTTTTGCAAATGATTCTTCAGAAAGTATGTAAAATAAAAACAAGAATTTCTGAAAATCATAAAAAGAGCTTACTAGTTTTGGGTTGGAAAATGAGATGATGCAAATTTAAAAATGAGGAATGTAGAAAAATTAATATGCAAGTACCATAGTAAATTCAGAGGGTTTCACTAAATGAATAGCCATAGGGAGCACATCACCAAGGAGACCAATTAAAAATGCGATAAATCTAAAGAACTGCCGTCAATTCTAGTGGAACAGAAGTAAAGGGAATATGACAGGAGAACACTGTACAGTAGATGTTTTCCTTATTGACAAACTTCAGCCATTATTTCTCTTCTTAATTTAAGATGTTAATTGCTCTTTAGTGTAAAATATTTACCAGCACACTCACCTTTGCATGCAAATTTTTAAATGAATATTTCCCATCAGAATTCTACTCTAAAATGCTCATCCTTGTTTCTTTATTCCCTCACTAATTTTGATGACTATATAAAGCCTGAATTAGAAATCGTTGAGACATTTTACTTAGAAAATGCATTGTTACCAAGATCTTAAATACATGACAGCAATCAAATGATATATTTCATTTTCTCCTATGTTAATCTTGCACTTATTTATGATTTGAGAAATTTTTGCAAATGATTCTTCAGAAAGTATGTAAAATAAAAACAAGAATTTCTGAAAATCATAAAAAGAGCTTACTAATTTTGGGTTGGAAAATGAGATGATGCAAATTTAAAAATGAGGAATGTAGAAAAATTAATATGCAAGTATCATAGTAAATTCAGAGGGTTTCACTAAATGAATAGCCATAGGGAGCACATCACCAAGGAGACCAATTAAAAATGCGATAAATCTAAAGAACTGCCGTCAATTCTAGTGGAACAGAAGTAAAGGGAATATGACAGGAGAACACTGTACAGTAGATGTTTTCCTTATTGACAAACTTCAGCCATTATTTCTCTTCTTAATTTAAGATGTTAATTGCTCTTTAGTGTAAAATATTTACCAGCACACTCACCTTTGCATGCAAATTTTTAAATGAATATTTCCCATCAGAATTCTACTCTAAAATGCTCATCCTTGTTTCTTTATTCCCTCACTAATTTTGATGACTATATAAAGCCTGAATTTTCTTAATTTTGAAACTTTGCATCTTCCATTGTAATTTTATTGTAACAGATAAATATATAACCCATTCTGTGAACTGATACAGCCTCTCACACATGGTAAAGAGTTCTCTGAATTTATTTCTTAAAACCCTCCACATTTCCCAGGATATTGTCTAAAACCTTAAAACACTATTTGTGGTTAAATCATCCTGTTATTTCTTAAATGCAAATTCCTCTGTATAGATGAAATATTCAGTTATAATAAGCTGTATGGTTTGGGGGTCTCGTTATTGGGTTACTTTTCAGAAAGACTCTCATCAGCAATGAGGCCTTGGGTCCTAGTAACTTTTGATTAAGTAGAATGTGCTGTATGAGGATTTTGTGTACTGCATAGGTGTACTCATCTCCAAGGACAAGTAAGCTCCAGTCAGGTAGGACACCAGAAAGAGTACACAGGCCTCAAAAAACAGAAAATGTCCAGAAGAGTGTTGGAAAACAGCACAGATAATGTGGAGACAAGTTTAAAAACTAATTTCAAAATACAGCTTAGGCAATCAGACTAGCCAACGTGTTTTATTACTTCCATATATTATTATGTATGATTTTCGTGAGAATAAATCAGCTTATGAAAAGCAATATTTGAAAGTTTTAAGAATAATATTTATGAAACATTTAGTAGAAAACAAAACAGAATTGATATCTGTTTACTCTACAGTAATTAAATACAGTTTTTACTCAGTGAACTGTGCTTGCACATAATTCACAATGGAATGGAGGGCTGGGATGATATTTCTTTACCACTATATGATTGTTTCTTTTTTTTTTTTTTGGTACCGGGGATCGAACTCAGGTCCTTGCTCTTGTGAGGCAGGCCACCGAACCGCTGAGCTAAATCCCCGGCCCTTATGTTTGGTTCTTAAAGATATTTTCATTCTTGGGCTAATATGATCTTACAGACTAAAATTTGGATTATTACTCAGGAGTTCACTGCTGAAAGAGAAATATATTTGTAAGATGACAATTTCAATATACAGACAGAATGCATCAGAATCTTCTAAAAAAGATGCATTTTTGTCTCAGTCTTTTTTTCTGTTACTGTAACAAAATACCCCAAACAGAGTACTTGTCTTCACTGCTGAAAGAGAAATATATTTGTAAGATGACAATTTAGATATACAGACAGAATGCATCAGAATCTTCTAAAAAAGTTGCATTTTTGTCTCAGTCTTTTTTTCTGTTACTGTAACAAAATACCCCAAACAGAGTACTTGTAAGGAAAAGGAGTTTGTTTGGCTTATGGTTTTGGAGGCTGAACAGCTTGGAAGGCCGTATCTCATGAGAGCGATATGCAGCATCCAAGGAGGTGGATGACATCATAGGAGACAGAAGCATGTCAGGAAGGCACTGGCATGACTTCCCTTCATAGTAACGTATTCTCCAGGTAATGAACACAGCCTTGGGAGATGGACAGTAATCCCCTTTCATGGTGGTGCCCTACAGCCAATTTCCACTAGTTCCTAACCTCTTAAACTTTATATCATCTCCCAACACTTGTACTATGGACTAAGCTTTCAGCACATAAACTTTTGAGGGATAAGCCATACCTAAGAATTATGAATTTATATATTGGAAGAACTATTTTTATCAAGTGTTTTCAATTTATGTATGCTTCTTCTGGGGAAACTTAAACGATTGTGTTCTGTTTTTTGTTTTGTTTTGTTTTGAGACAGGGTCTCACTATGTAGTTGAGACTTACCTGGAACTCATTATGTAGTCCAGGCTGGTCTCAAACTCACAGAGATCCTCCTGCCTCAACCTCCTGAGTGCTGGGATTACAGGCATGTGCCACCATGCCCGGCCTTAAATGACTGTTTAAATGCAAATAAATCAAATAAAAATACATCAAATTCTTTACTGATTCCCATGATCTTTCAAACAAAATTAAGTCCTCTTTTATGTTCTGAGATGCCACCACGCCCGGCCTTAAATGACTTTAAATGCAAATAAATCAAATAAAAATAAATCAAATTCTTTACTGATTCCCATGATCTTTCAAACAAAATTAAGTCCTCTTTTATGTTCTGAGATGTAGCAATTATTTCCCCAAATCCTTCTTCCACTAGACCTATATTCTTTCTACAGTTTCTAAAATCAATAACTTGAACATTAAATCTGTATTATTTTGTCTCTGACTAACAGTATGGTCTCAGGATTGACTTTATGAAGCAACTCCCCTGCTCCCCCGAGAATATTTTCTCCATGACTGTAGGAAAATCTTGCTGGACTGTGAGTGTAGCGTCACTTGCAGATTTCTGACTGAGCATTTGTGACATGCTGGGTTAGCATTTCCTTTCTTTCCATCTCCATCATTAGACACTGGCTTTTCCTTTTTTTTTTTAGTTATTATCTGGGGATTGAACTCAGGACCTTGCAAGGCAGGCACGTGGCCACTGAGCTAAATCCCCTGCCTGATACTGGCTTTTTCACAACAGGAAACTGAGTCTTTAGTCTTTGAATCCCAGAGATTAATATAATACTTGGCTCAATTTTTTTCTTCTCTCTTTTTTTAACTTAACAAGAACCAAGTCTTTGAAATCGAAATAACAAATAAATAGGGAAGGGAAGAGGGGGTGAAGGGAGGGCAGGAGAAGGGGAAAAACGAGAACCAAGACCCGTCATGTAGAGGTACAGGATCCCAATGATGAACGTAACTGTACTTTGTACCTAAAATGTACCAATAAACTCAATGAGGAAAAAAAATGCCTTATTAGCTTTACATCAGGGATATAGCTTCCCTAATCTCTTAAAAAATGATTTTAATATGACTTACCTATTTAAACATGTTTCATAGTAATTCTACATTTTTGTGGACAACAGAAGCTACTTCTTATTCTCAGGTCTTATTCTTATTCTCATGTTTTCCTCAAGTATCTTTAGTCTTCCACTATCCTGACATCTTCACATCACATCTTAGAAACATT